CCCTCAGATCACCCAGACCCGGAGGGCCCGGTCCTCACCTCACCATTCAGCCAACAGACCTCTGCACTTCAAACCACTCGGACTTGTAAACCTCCCCCCTCATACCACCCCTCCCCCTTAACATTGCCCCCCCAAAGCCTCCTTGCTCTTCCAGGATAGACCCATCACCCCCTCTAGATACCCATGACTTGTTCACCTCCACCCTCAGCTGACTGGGATCCTGACAGGGCAGCCCCTTACCTCCATCACGCGGCCCAGCATGCCCACCAGATGCCCCACATCGCTGTGGGCCTCCCGCCAGCTATAGCCACCCTGGCTGGGGTCCAGGAAGGCTTGCAGGGCCTCCACCTGCTCCTGGTCCTGGGGTCCCAGCCGACGCATCCTGCTGCTGTTCTGCGTCTGCAGGAGCCGCTGCGGGCAGAACAGTGGGGTGGACACTGGTCTTCACATCCACCATGGAACCCCAGTCCCGGCCCCACTGTCCCTGGCCCAGAAGACCCTACCCTGCCCTTTGCCCAAATCTTCCTGGGAGCAGAGGGTGGGCATGGGACAAGCCTCCGACCTGGGCCCACCTGCAGCACGGCCATGTTTGCAGTGTCATTCATGAAGCTGACAATCTGGGGTCCCAGCACCCCCCATGCCTCTTGGACATCCCTCAGCAGAGCCAGCTCCTCAAAGGTCCGGTTCACCTGCACAAAGAGGGACACAACGTCAGCCTGAGTTTTTGCACATGTGACAGCTTTCCCTGAAGCCCAGCACACCCCTTCTTCTCCTTAGAAACTCTGCTCCCTGACCCTCCCCCGGGGGTCTCCTGGACACCCCAGCCTGGACCCCTCACAGCCTCAGGGCCACCCTCACCTGAGCCATGAGCTGCCTTGTGAAGGGTGTGTCGGGCGTAAACAGCAGTTTCCCTAGGACCAGCGGCTTCAGGCGTCTCCACAGTAGGTGGGACAGTGGGTGGGTGTCCAGGACCCCCATGAGCTCAGCACAGGCGGGGCCTGGAGCAGGGGTATCGTGTTGTGAGGCTCAGCCCCAAGCTCAGCGGCCCCCTGCCCAGATGGGGAGCCCAGGCGGGTCACTCACTCAGACCACTGTCCACCATGGCTGGTTCTTGCTCCTGACCCACAAGGTCTCTCAGGTCGCTGTCTTCGTACCAGTTGAGGGATGGCACCCCAGGGCCACTAGGCCCCCGTGTGCCACACAGGGCTTCTGTTACCAGCATCAGGGGACCCCCAGGCTCTTGGGGTCTCTGAAGCAGTGCCTGCAGCTCAGTCAGGCTGGGCTGTGCCAGGAGCTGCAGGAAGGTCACCAGACAGTGGCCAGCAATACTCGCTCTGACTGTCCAGTCGCAAGTTTTAATGAGGGCAGCAGCCCCACCCAACTCCCAAAGGGAATCACCTCCTCCAAGGAGCCCACCTGGGTGCACCCTGCAGGCTCCTCACCTCCTGAACCAGGTCTTGGACCGCCTCCCCAAAGCCATCCATGGCCTCCTGTGCTTGGCCCAGTGCAGACCCCAGGGGGCCCTTCAGAGAGAGACACGTGACAGTAACAAGGTGACTGCTTGCTCAGGGCCATGCACTCTGCTGTTCTTAAGTGGTCAGAGTGTCGGGGGGTGGGGGTGGACTGAGGTTCAGCATGAAGTCCAAGGTCCCCGCCATGGTGGGGGACAGGGGGCAGGGGCAGGCAGGTGGAGGAGGAGCAGTGCTCACTGCAGGGTGGACAAGGAGGCTGGAAGCAGAGGCGCAGGATGGGAGCAGCTGCCCAGGTCAGGCCCATCTCACCTCTGGGAATATGGTCCCCAGCAGCTCAGTGGCCAACTTGGCTGGCGTCGTTAAGGGTCCCTGTGCTGGCTGGTCACTTCTTTGGGGCCCAGCTGAGGGCAGAACCCGCCAGACCACCATGTGAAGCAAGCCTCGGCCTCAGACACCCCTCCTTCCACCTCCCACCCATCTAACAGCCAGGCAAGTGGAGGTCCCAGGGCCCCCTTACCTGTCCATGCAGCCCGAAGGGTGGGAATCAGTTTGCTCAGGATGGCCAGCACCCTGTGGGCATTGGGCCCTCCCAGGACAGCCCGGGCTTCGGCCAGGAGGCGGGAGACCCTGGGGACAGAGCTCGTCGAATGCAGGCTTGGGTGGGCACAGCTACACCACCACCACCACCCCTCTCAGGCTGGCACCTCTGCTTCCTTGCTCACAGGGAATCGTTGAAGTTGTTCAGGATCCCAGGTGCCTCGCCAGGCATGGGCTGCGCAGAGCAGGTGTTGTTCATGCTGCAGATGAGGCCCTGGAGCCAGGGCAGGGTGCCAGCGGAGGGCAGCGGCTTGTTGGGGAAGTGGCCTGCAGGGATGCCTGATATGTGACACTTGCTCACCCCGTTTCTGCGTCCCCACTGCGTGTGATATCCGCTCCCCACAGACAGCAGGCCGCCAGCGACAAAGAGCTCACTCCCGGACCATGCCTAGGGTGCCTGGGGAGAGCCCTGGGCCACTTGGTGGGAGTCCGTTGCCTCCCCATGCCCCTACCCTGTCCCTGGGGGTCTCACACTCATGACGTTCCACCGGGGGATGGGAGTGGCGGACGGCCACGAGGATGAAGAAGAGGAAGAGGGGCCACAGCAACTCAACGAGAAGGTGGATCTGAGGGGGCAGTGCAGGCGAGGGCGTGTGAGGACGGGCGGTGTAGATGCTGGGGCGCCCCGCCCCGCCCGCCTGCCCACAGCCTCAGTACCGGCTGTCTCCGGCGATACGTGAAATTCTTCCACAGCAGCAGCATCAGCTGCGTGCCGAAGGCCATGGTGGGCTGGGCAGGGAGCAGGGCGGACGGGATCGGAGGGCCGCACTCCTCCAGCCCACCGCGGGGAGTTCTTAGCGGGGCTCTGTTAACAGAACTCCTGCAATGGAATAGGCCAATGGGAGATCAGCCCGACACCATCCTCGCATCTGATTGGCTGGCAGAGCTGTCTCTCCCAGACTGTCCGGCTGGGGTCTGGAAGACCCTCCCCTCCAATCCCCAGGGGGCGGAGTCTCGGTTTAACTCTTTCTTCCCGGGGGGCTCCGCCCAAGCCCCCCTGGGGGCCTCTCCCAGGTCTCCCCCGCCCTCTCAGTCCCTCCTCCTCTCCTGTGGCGGGAACGCTGGGATGTCGTGCTGAGCCCGCGGGTGCAGGCGCTGGGCTGTCACCCATCTTCCAGAAGTGACAGCTGAGGCCCCGAAGGCCGGGTCCACCCCCGCCCCTAGGTACTTATTGCTGAGCGCTCAGCCGCCCGCCCGGGGGAAAGGCAGCTGTAGAGATCGCTGGACCAGGAGCTTGGAGCCTGGAGGTCCCGCTCCAGCCTCCCTTGTGCAGCTGGGGAAAACGGAGGCTGCGATGGGCACGGGGTTGTCGAAGGGAGCCTGGCCCAGACCATAGAGACTGGAACTAGGACCCCGACTGACCCCCCTTCTCAGTTCTCCTCTTTACATCGCGTCTTACGGGACTTCGCAGCTGGAAAGCTGCCTCATTTTGTAAGCTGGGGGCAGCTGGGAGGGGGTGTGGGCAAAGGCCGTCCCCTGTGAGCCTGTAGCCCTACCTCCCCCTAGAAGACAGGTGGTCAGCTCTCCAGCCCCCCAACACAAACCGGGCGCAGGGGGAGGGCGAGGGAGGGGCTGGGCTCTCGGCCCCAGAAACCTGCTTCCCACCCTCCACGCCCTCGAGTCTCGGGGCTCCTCCCTCTCAGGGTCCCTCTCACCGTACCAGCCCCCTAGCTCTAGCCGCCTTCCTTCCGCGACCGCGGCCCTTTTAAGAGGAGCCCCCAGCGGGCGCAGCGCCCCCGAAGCTGAGCGCCCTCCGCAACCTGGCGCCCTCAGCTGCGTCTGGCCCCGCCCTACCCAAAGCCTATTGGCCAGCCCACCTACCACTCAGTTACCAGCCCTACCGGAGTCGCGCGCGCTATATGGAGAGGCGGGGCCACTGGGGGGCTGCGCGGAGCCGGGTTTCTTAAAGGGGCCATGCTCTCCTGCTTCATCATAGTGGATGGCTGCCAGCCAGCCTTGGGACGCAAGAGACAGGGACTACGCTTGGGAGCTGGGCTGCCTTCTCACAGCGCACGGCTATCTGTGAAACTGCAGCTCCCCAGTCCCCACTGGCTCATTCCCACCGGAATCATTCATATTTATTTGAAGGTCTCTGAGGCAGGCACCTGCAGAAGCTAATGGCTGCTCCTCATCACTAAGACTGGGTGCTGAGTCACCTTGAGAGACTCCACCCTCTGGAACGTGATTCCCCGCCGACCCCCCCCCCACCACCACTCCCAAGTTCCCTGAAGGCACTGGGGAGCAGGAGGGCCTGGAAGGGTGTGGGCAGGCCAAGCTGATCCCCAGTAATGGTGTTGTGTTAGTCTGGGTACTTTGGAGAAACAAATCCACAGCGACTCATGTATAAGAGAGTTTTATGTAAAGAAAATGTGCATCACGAAAACATCCCAACCCAATGCTGCCCAAGCCCACAAGTCCAACATTAACCCATTAACCCAACACCAGTCCACAAAGTCCTCCACCTCACAAAACAGAGGCAATGATGCCGACTGCAGGAGGAAAGCTGAGTCAGTGAACGAACAAGCATCTCAGCACTAGCAGGGGTCTCCACATGGCTGTTCCAGCACCCAGGGCTGCATCGGGATAGGTCCATGTGGCTTCTCCTTGGGGATGTCTTGTAGGAAGTCAATCTTGCAACCTGAAGCAGGGAACTGCTAAGGCAGCTGCACCCGGTGCGACCATCACTAAACAAGAGCCCGAGAACTAGAAAGGCGAGGCTCACCACCCATTTATCCCTCTGCCTTTCAATTAGCCCCACATGTGATTATCGGCCAGGCTGGCACAATGGACTAGCTCAGGTGTGAGGGGTCAGAGCTGCCCTTCCCTCCTGGTTCTAACCCTGGAGGGATGTGAGCTTACAGGCCTCTCACCCAGTGGCCTCAGGCCCCAGCTTCCTCCTCTTCCAGAATGCACGCACGCACCTGTGTCCCAGTGTCCTCCCTGAGGACCCCAGACCAAACACCCCCATTTCCCCAACACACCCAAACTCTCCAGCCACCTGCTTTGTCTTAAAAACAGAGGTTTTTTTATTGTCACTTGGTCCACAATCAGCAATTTCACATTATTTCATGGTCCCAGAGCTCCTGGTGGGGGCTGGTCCCAGGGGGATCTCCTTGTGGGGGACCCTGTGCAGATAGGGGCAGGGGGTATGAACTGAAATGGGAGGGCCAAGGGAGGGTGGGGTCAAGGGAATAGAGCTTTCTGACTTCCTGGGAATTTTACCTGCTCTAGAGGCTGCCAAAAATACTGCAGGCCCAAGGCCTGGCCCTCCCCCAGGGATCCCATTACCCAGCCCCTCCCTCCGCCAGCCCCCAGGGAGAAAAAGAGAAAGGGGGAAAAATGTTTTTCTTTCTTTAAACCCTGCCTGAAGCTTCCGGGGTCACAGAAACCACAGGAAGCCAGTAGGTAGAGAAGTGGGAGGGGAAGAGGTGAAACCAGAAAGGGGGGGTTTCCTCTCCTCACCCCCTCCCCCATACAAGCAGCTGTTTTGGGGTCAAACCTGCAGCCTGTGCCTGGCAGACGCAGCTGCTCACTAGAGCCCCTGTGACCTTTGCCTGGTGGCCCGCTTTTGCCACAGAGCCAGGGGGCGGGGGGGACCGCACTCCTGCCCACTCCCCCAACCCAACTGCCCCCAGACCCTTGACTGTGGCAACACTCCAACATACAGAAAACAGGAAGAAAACACAAACTCCCCCCAAAACCCGCACGGGCACCCGCCCTTCTCAATAGCCCGCCTCCTCCGGGTAGTAGGAGGGGAAGTGGGAGGCTTCCCCAGGGTCTGGGCATTCGCCTGCCTTGCCCAGGACCCCATCAGCAGCGGGGCCTTGTGGGCAGTACTTGGGGTCGTAGATCTGCCGGCCCAGGCCAAAGACCTGGCCACTCTGGGTGGCCCCTTGCGTGTAGCCCATCTGCAGGGACATGGAGGAGTTGTCACACTTGTCGGTGCCCAGCTTGGTGTCATAGATATGGCGCCGGGTCCCTGGAGCCGTCATGCCCACCTGGCGAGGGAGGAGGGGGGAGAGAGGGCGTCAAGGGGACGGGGAGCTGGGGCTCCCCAAGTCCCCACACTATGTCTTAGCTCCACCACCTGGCCTAGCAAACAAACACCTATGGACCCTTCCAAGACTGGCTGGTCACCCCTCTGAGTTGACGCTGACACCTGCAGCCCTGAGGACAGGAGGAGGGGGTGGGGTGGGGGTGGGGTGCATCCCCGGGAAAGGGCCCTGGTGGTATGTCAGTTAAGCACCTGGCTGGGAAAGGGAAGGGGGACGGTTTGAGCACCAGCAGAGGGTGGGGAAGACAAGCTGGAAGACTGGGTGAGCTTCACTCTTGAGAGACAACCGCCGGGTGTCCTGTCCCTAAAGCCGCTTCTGGGATGGTGGGCGGGGGGTGGGGCGGGGGTGTCAGAACCAACTCCAGGCCAAGGGCAGTGACAGAGGTCTGCACAGATGGACGTAGGTCACCAGGTCCTGCCCCACCGAGCCTGAGGCTGGGCTTCAGCCGCAGACCAAAAGGTGGGAGTGGAGTGCTCACCATCTGCGTGGCCTTGCTCCAAGTGAAAGGGAACCACTGCTGACTCACGCGACCTTACAGGACAGAGAGCTGCCGTGTGGGTTCACAGAAGTACAGGGTCTCATCTTTCTCTCATGGAGCGGCTGCTGGGTTCAAACTGCTGACCTTGTTGTTGGCAGCCCAATGCATAACCTGCTGCACTCCCAGTACACCTGGACCCCCTCTTTCCTGACTCCATCTGCATTCCCCTCGTGCCAGCTCCTGTGCTCAGTTCCCTTGCCTGCAGGGCCAGGAGGGACCTGCCGGGCTGCCCAGCACCTGACTGTCCACTGTCGAGAGATGCAACGTGGATGCATGCAGTCTCACAGAAAGAGTGGGAACTGGGGGCTTGAGGACTGTCAGAGCTGGGTGGGCTTTGGGATTTCTTTAGGGGGAGGCTCAGGACAGAGAGGGGCAGCAAGAACCCCAGGGGCACACAGCACAGCCAGCTCCAGAGGAAAGCTACAGGATGCTGGGAGCCCTGGGCAGCGTCTTGGGGGCGTGGTGGAGGAAGCCTGACAATACTGGGGTGGGGTGGGGGGAATGGGAGAGCATGGTGGAAAAAGGTACAGAGGGATCTGGCAAGGCGTGTTGGGTGGGGGCCCAGCGGGGTATGGGGCACAGGGCCCAAGTGTGGCCCGGTGTGGTCTGGGGGGCTGGGGAGGGGTGTGGGGAGGAGCCTGGCACAGCAAAGGGGCAGGGACTGTGGGCGGGCCTGGCAGTGTGGGCGGGTCTGACAGCACGATGGGCAGGGCATATCCCACCTGGCTGGCGCACTTGTTGGTCCCCATCTGTAGGCTGATGGT